TGCCATTTTCCCCTTAATCGTTTTTACGACGAAATTTCGTGTTTTATATCCCGATCGGGATACTACTTTTTTTCTATATCCTGATCGGGATATAGCTATAGCCCGATCAGGATATAGGAGGTGTCCCCTTACGGACATGCAACATTTCCTGTATCAGAAAATAGTGGTCCAGTGACGAACTACCAGAAGATGGTACTCCAAAATAAATGGGAATAGCTCGTTGAAATATACAAAGTTATTCAATAATTAATAATCTTATATTAAATGTTGTATATTTCAGAATTAAAATAATAACATCAGGCGAACATAATTTTAGATTCAACGTATCAGTAAGATATTTCAATGAGTTATTCATTCTCAAATAATCACAGACAAATGGAATGATGTTCTTAAACGGCACATCATTTGGTAGTAGATAAGCTATTTCCGAAAACTGATCTTTTTTCCATACAGCAGCATCTTCATCGTTATATGGAAAAAGCTTCCGTGTGCCGGTGGTTGTTGGTAGGTGAAGTTGCTCCAAAGCATTCATTGAATTAATGAGCTGAGCATTTGTGACTTGAGTATAATCAACGCGTTTTGATTCATGCTCCAGTTTTCCGTGGTCAGGATTGTCAACGCAAAGTCGACAATAGAAAATCTCCTTTCGTAGAAATCTGCTGCAACTCACGCATTCATAACCAAGTTCAGTGATAGGATTTCTACATTCCTGACAAGATTTAACCTGATTCATTCTTCGTTTGATCAAATCTATACAACAAAAGAAAAAACAATTTTATTTAGATTACTTGAAAAGTAGGGGTCTGCGCGTGGAGTGATCGTGTGGGTGTGGATATGTTTGAGCATGCATGCACGCGCGAGATGAATTTCGGGAGACGACTCACATCCTCAGTCACACATCTACAGGGACTCCGCACCTGCCACTTTTGTTTCCTGATAATATATTCAACAGTAGGAATGGCAGACTTTTCGGACAGGATAAACCCAATGTATTCTATGAGCCATTGAGTTGTCTAAGAGAAAAGAATATATCTTTGTAAAATCTCGTTACAGGCGCCAACTAGCTTTAAGACGGCTGAATTTCTTCTGCAACTTCTGGCTTCACAGCTAGTACTCATGGATCTATCACGCTTTTGCATTTGATAAAATATCTTTATCTAAGTGATAAAGAATCTGATATTAAACCTTTTTCAACGTTTTCATACAATAACTACTATTTTTAATAGGTTTAATATCTTTCGTCATTTTTTCTTTCTGTTATATCAATGCCATCTTAGTTAACTAGAAAAAAAAACTTTTCCATAAGAAATTATAGTCACGTTTCGCAGAATAAACGAATAGAACCTTGTCATAACAAGGTTCACAAAGCTTCTATTCTCTCACTAAACTTATCGATTCTGTTGGTGTTGACGTTACTACACGCATATAACGTAGATGATTGCAATTTCTTGCTAGTTTATGGTATCTATATTTAAGTGGATAAAACATAGCTTATAATTATCATTACTTTGAATAGTTTTTGTTGTAACTGCTTTTTTGGTTTTGGTGTGTTCTAATTAGATACGACAAAACAAAATAAAATTCGGTTTCGTTTAAAATCATCCTAGTTTAGTTACAAACTTATGCCCAAACCAGAAAAAGTTGAAATTTTTCTCTGAATTATATCAGTGACATCAAGACAACTGTGGAGTCAATTATTATTCATTTCAGAAAACAAGGCATGTGATTGACTTTTTACTGGTAGTAAATTCAGTCTTTTATTTGAAAGAGAAGATTCTACACATGTATTCATGCGAAATTCATTGAGATGTCTTGATAATAGAGAGATGAACTTTAGCCATTTTCTAAGATGTAGTAGGGACTCTGTGAAGGTAAGATAATATTTTGTATTAAACGAGTGGACCTTAGTCACCAAATAAAGATATACAACTCTATGTACGGTTCAAATTTCTGCCCGAGTCGGCAAGTTCGGACGTTTACGATGCTGTTCCTCACTGTTTTCTGCGATTTAGTCTATTTTCGCCGAAAGTTAGTTACGTCTTAGTTAGTTACGTTAGTTAGTCATGTCTTATCTTGAAAAAAGACTTGAACTTTTCTTTGAGAAGATGGTGACATGAAGTTTTAATGTTTTTTGTCAACCAGGCGATACTGCCGTCACGCCATAATCTCTATCCTGAAAGGAAAACTCAATATTAACACAGTCAAAGAAAGTATACAGCAATGTGGGCTCGCTGTTCGTCTACTGTACATAAACACCTCCTAATCATAATGTTGAACTTTCTAATTTTCGATAAGCTGTAGAGTTTTCGTTTCAGAAACATTTCTTGCTCAGGTAAACTGAGTCTCAGTTCGCAAGCATTGCTCAATTCTGATCCGACACACGACTGAGAATTACCTTAAATTAAAAGTGAGAAAGACCTGTGAGTCTTTCCAGTAAGGTAACGTTTGCTGAACAACTATTATAAAATGCCCGTAAGCAATTAGCTCAAGTTGAATTACATACAAATTGGCCCGGAGGGTTAAATTGAAATGTTCTAGTGTTCCCTCATCCTCGTGGCCGTATGTGATTCTTATATGAGATGTGTGGAATACAATTAGCACAGATTTTCATAAGATTTCGATAAGATTTAGTGAAAATTTAGTGACAGATGATTGTTTCTTCGAATATTGTCTGTGTAAAACTAATATGCTCCATGGTTGACTCAGTATTCTCAGCTACCATACCACTTAGATCTACAAGATATTGCATATGGACGTGTTTTTTCAGAGAAAGAAAAGCTAAGTCTCTTTTTGAACCGTTTTTATCAGAACAGTATTTCGATAAGAAATAAATTGTGTATGAGTCTGTGTTAGACTCCGATGAGTAAAGCTAGATGGAAGATGATGGCGCTGATTTTCAGGGGAAAAAACGGTTTAGTGGATCTCTTAACTAAGGAGAGCTTTAAATAATTCGTACAGCATCACTTTATTTTCGGATATCCTGTCTTCATAAATCACGTATTTATAAAACTTTTAGCAAGTTTCATAAAATTTAGGCAACTTGGATACTGAATTTTTTAACCCATAACTTACATAAAAATGAAAAATTATATGAAACTTGTAAAAAGTTCATAAAAGTTTAACATGGCTCTCAGAGAAAACTTTTAAGCACATGTCTCCGAAAGACCTATGGTTGTTAATCAAATTGGTTTAATTGATGAATTAAGGTAACTGCATATGTCTCTAAGAGGATTGTTACAGTAGTAAGTATATCAGTATAAGTCTCATAGTGACATTTGTCGAACAGTAGGGAAGTCAATATCTGTCGTTGAGCTTCTTAATATCAACAAAATATGTCTCGAAGCAACGTATAAGTCTCTGAGAGGATGATTCTTAGTCCTTTTAAAATAAAACATAGAGTTTTTATTCAATTGATTTAGTTAGAGAATGTCACTGAGCGATTCATAACTCACAAAGTTACACATATCTCTCCCGTTCAGATATGCAGATATATCTGATACAAACTCACTACGCTTCTTAATAGATAAACTTCCCAGTTTTTAAGAAAGTAGACGCACAGCGACGGCTACATTTTAAACTAATAACTATACTAACGTTTATTACTATTCAACAAAAAATACTTTTTACATTTACAAAACATGTTTTTCTAATGCTCACGCTTGACTTTACGTTCTACACTTTCACATAATAAAACAGACACAACTTTTTATTCGTTTACATGTCTCTAAGAGACGTTCTTGGAGACCTATGTCTCTCTTGCAGACTTATACATAATCCTGCTGGTACAAAAATACCGACTTTTGTACAAGTAAGCATAAACATTTATGAAACTTGGAAACAAGTTCCATAAAATTTAGGAAACTTGGAAACAAGTTCCATAAAATTTAGGAAACTTGGTTGTTGAATTTTTTAACCCAATAGTTACATAAAAATGAAGAATTTTATGAAACTTATAAAAGGTTTCATAAATGTGTATTTGTCAAACTGGATTTATGAAGACAGAATGATCCTTTATTTTTTACAGAATGTCCCATCATACGAGCAGATAGAATGTCAAAAGGTCACAGCTTTAAAATAGCTTTTACAATGAAATGTTATTTGGACAGATATTCTGATACTAACGAGACTTGTCAGCACTCTCTGATAATCGAGCCTTGATAGAAAAGAATACGTTCCGTTATTGTTTATCAATACATGTAGTATAATTGAAAAACATTTACGAAAATGTTTTTCAATTCTATTAAATATACTTAGTTTGTATAAAAAAACATAAAAAGATTCGAGAACATCAGAATACATGTAGTGCCTAAACAACATTTCTAAGGGCACGCCGCCTCTGTCGTCGTCGAAATAAAATATTGTTTGTAATTGAAAAGGTTATGCTATTATTACCGTCGTCGTCTGTATCCTCTAATCGATTATCGCCATTAGCATTTCTAATTGCCACTGTAACGGCAGACCGTTGTGGTGCTTCTTCCGCCAGTACCTGAGGCGTATTCAGTGGTGCCTGTAGGACACTGTTATATTCTGATAACCATCGATTTTCTAATATTTGATTAATGGTTGGTCTATTTGCTGGTTCAACAGTTAACATCATTCGAATTAAATCTTTCGCTT